TACCACCGTTTCATTTAGTACGGACAAGATGAAGCACGATCACATAGCCGAAAAACGTCTTGCCGATTCCCGGGTTGCCGAGGATCACGAGATGCGGTGTGTTCGTCTTTTCATCGTGGATCCTCTCGAGACAAAGTTCCCATAGCGCAGGGTAGCAATGACGAATGTAGATACGAGAGCCGAGTGTCGAATCACCAAGAAGATACGTGTCTCGGGGTAACTCGACCAATGCGCCAGCTTTCACGTCGGTACTGTCGTTCAGAAATGCTTTCCTAAATGCGACCAGTGCTGGCGGATTCAACGACATACTTTGCGTGATTGGGATATGAACGTCGCCCACAACAAGTTGACGATCTCGAGGCAGCTCAGCTTCCGACAATTGTGGCAGTTCCACCAGCACGTGAATCTCCTTGCGACCAGGCTGAAAGTTCTTCCCAAAGCAATCTTCGTCGAGAATCCACGACGAAAGCATCTCTTCATACTCGGTGCTGATGCCACCTCGCAAGAAGCCTTTCACCGTGTGGTCGTGGTTCATCCACGTGGCTTCCCCTTCCTTTCGCGCCAAGTAGAGCGTCAAGTCGCTTGCGGCAAACTTATAACGCTCGCTGTATCGTTTCTCCGCGAATATAGCTTTTTGTAGCGCCTCCACATCTGCATTGCGCTTGATCTCGACGGAGAAGACGCTCCCATCGCCGTACACACCGCAGCGCAGCTTCACATCCGTCTCCTCTGTCATGCTCCTGTGCTTTCTCTTAGACAGTTCTCGACTGAGAAGCGGCACACATTCACGCAACACACCGCACAGTTTTAGCCAATCACATCACTCCCAAATATTTTTTTTTTATTTCTGACAAATATATTCCTCAATATATAGAAACTAAATAATAGTGTTTATCTTGAGCGATAAAAAATAAATATATAGAAATAACAATGTGTAAGTACATCTTCCCAGAAAACCACCCCAAGGCGAGCCAACAGTGCGGCCCAAAAGGCGATTGGTGCCGACACCACGCAAAGTATCAGCCAGCAGTTGCTGAACCAACGATGACCAAGTCTATTGAAGAAATTTATGGTGAGCATTGTATTCAGCACATGAAATCTGTCGATAAATACGATCAGCCCAAGTTGGGGGATTCACGAGTTCTATCACCAAGTGATTGGATCAAGTCGAAGATGCACGTAGTTAACGATTCCGTTGATTACAAGCATAGCGATGATGCCACGCCTGACGTTGGCAACAACGTATACTGTGACGGGGTCACACAGCACCTTGCGCTAGAGGAAGTTATCTTCCGAGAGTATACAAACTCTCAGTGAACGACAGTTCACAGGTCCCCTCTTTATTCAAAAGAGAGCGAAGTGACCTAATTAAGGTAGAATGTAAACTGAGTATATTTATAGGTAGATAAAGCTTGGGTTTAATACAAACTATATGTCACCTATAGAAATGCAATGTCGTAATCCAATGGTTGGCTTTGAACGACCTTGGTACTTTGTACCAAATATCCCGAAGTATGACGTGTCACACTTCATGTAACCAGGGTACACTTAGGGATGCGTACCCCACTACATCCCTTTCACTTAGGTTCGGTTTACCGACCAATCAGAATGAAGAGGTGCTCGTCACAAACTCTCATTCTCAAAGTCCAAAACCATCGACTTGGCCGCGCGAGCGCGGCGGAGGCTCACTTCACAGTTAGAGCCTCGAGCAGCAATCTGTGCGCTCTTCTTTTAGATCTCCACTTCGACCGTTTATCATGCCTCGTGGCACTGCAAAGAGCGGTGCGAAGACACGCTCCAAGGCTGCTGCCGGAAAGGCGCAAGCCAAGAGCACTAAGCCTCACGGCAAAGGCTCTGCACTCAAGCAGGCTACTCAAATGGCCTCCGAGGCGATCGGTTCCTCGGGTGACGAGGCTGTGGGTAAGCGAGCAAGCAAGAGCCGCAGACCGTCGCCCTCGGCCTCTCCAGACAACCCTCCGAACCCTCGGTTCGTAGAACGTGAATTCGACTCTGGCGGTGAGGGCGAAGTCGAGTCCAAGAGCACGCACGACGCTCCTGCGGGCTCTGTGAGAGGGCACAGCCCAGTCCCCAGTGAGCACAAGGACGACAGCGTGCAGTCGCTCGCAAGTGATCAAGGTAATCACAGTCCCAGGACATCTGTCCGCTCTGAGAGTCCGGCCGCCAAGGCTAAGGGCACTCCCAAAGCTGGTGGCGATGAGGAAGAGATTCCTCGCAAACGTCTCTCGCTTGCCGAGAAAACCTCTAAACCCGAAGGCGCCAAGCCCTCATAGAAGCGTACGGCCTCTAAGTCTCCACTCCGCGAAGAGAGAAAGTCTCGACACTCCCATCGGAGCATCTTCGACTCCTCGTATGAAGAGGAGGAGAAGGAGGAAGAAGATGAGGAGGAGGGTGCTATCGCTGAGCCCCGGGAGGTCACGAATGACCTCGACCAGCAGCAGGAGGATTTCCAAGCTGCCCAGCGTGTGCGTGGGGGCTCGGTGGCGGCACCCGTCAGCCAAGGAGCTGCCATCAACACAAGAGGGCATTGGCCTCCCGAGGAGAGCTCTGGGGCTGACCTCTTCTTCGAGCTTCTCGTCGCTCCTCGTGGCCTTGTGGGCGGCCACACTTCTAGGGGCAACTACGAACGTGCCCTTGTTCAGAAAGAAAAGTTGTTCGTTGACAACTTGGAGGCTGCTCGGTGTGTGCTTCTCGCGCCACACCGCATCCCCTCTAAGGACTTCACGACTTGTCGTAAGAAGCCCGAGACCCGGGGTGGTCTCTATCCTCTTTGGGGATACCCCGGGGTTATGCCCGAGAACTGTCCCACGTGGAGTTCTTGTGAGGACATGTTCTGGGCGTGGGTGGAGACTCTTAAGTACTCACCCACGGAGTTACGGGAACTCCATGAAGATCAGCAGCTGTCCCACATCCTGGACCAGCGTGATCTTCGTGTGAGGTCTGCCCACTTGGTCAGCAAGCGCATGCTGCCAAGGGACACCCTGAAGCGCGCGGCTTCCAGCGCTCACGATGCGCGCGGGTACGAAATGTATTCATCGTCCGTACCCCGTTCGGGCAAGAATCCCCGGACTACTTATGGAGCTGCCGCCGCTTTCTGTTCCCAGATTGCGACAGTCTTTCGGGCAATCAATCAGGAGGCCGTTTCGATC